CCGTCGCCTAACGCCCAAACAAACGCACACCAGCCTGCAGACGATCGGCGAAGTTGAGTCGGGTTCCATCAACTTTGCCGACTGTCTGGGAGCTGCGTCACGTAGCCTCCCCGCCATACAAACACGTACAGCGGCATGATGGGCAAACAACGGCGATGCCCCTCTCGCTTAGTACCACAAATTTTGCCCATTTTCTCCTTATTGCTTAATATGCACGCCCAAATGATGAACTAAAAATTTGACAAGCACTGAAATGCGTGAAGCTTGAGGAAGGTTTTGCATCAAGAGGCTGTGCAGCCAACCTAAAAGAGCATTTTCCGCGAAAAATCCCGGAGTTTCGGGCACCATTGTGTTTTATTTTTTTGGTGGGGTGCGCCACTGTCTTCCATATCCAGTGTACTCTGAGTTGACTGTACAGTCAGTTATCGGGCGCAGTCTCCAAAGGAGCAGACTATTTTATTTGGTATCCTGAATACCACTAATAAATGTACGTAGAATTAACATCACTCATACGACTCCTTTAAAATATCCAGATTTCTTGGATATTTTAATGATCCAATTCTAGGGTGAGAGTGGTGGCGAGGTTGCCTTTTTGCAACTCTGTAATTAGTCTGGTTCCCTTCACAAAGATTCCCTGACGACTCTTAAAAATCTAAGGTCAGGTATCACCCGCAGAAATAAATAGATCATGACGCAACATATGACGGGGAGGGTTACCAGGGGAGCCACTTTCTCCAAGATACTCCTATTTCGTTTTTTCTAAGTACCCGTATACGGATAAACCACCACATAATGAATCACCTTGATAAAGGTAATTATTTCCGTTGTGTGGAACAAGTCCAAAGATGTCATCTGACACCTTAAACTGCGTGCTCCGACTAGTGTACCCCGGACAGTTCAAAAGTTATCGGTAAAGACGCGGTCAGAAATACCCGAACATGAACGATACTATCCGAATGAACTTTTTCTTCTCTTTCATTTGATTTTAAATTTCATTCATTTCAATTTTCGTAGCATTGTTTCAAATGGAGGGGGCATTATGGGAATTAATGTTGATGTTAAATTTAATTTAAGGTGCACGGAATAAGTTCGGAATATTTCGGCTGTTTCCGGGAACGGGAAGAATTCCCCCTACCTATCCTCCTGCCCTGATTGCGTGGTGATACCGGCCCCAAGATTCGTCGAGTAGACGGGGTTTTGGGGTCTGGTATCCAGACTACTCTGTAATATGTGTCGTCATCACAAAGTCACAGAATTTAAAACCCTGTATCTAAAAAACAGTGATTCTGATTTAAAACTTGCTATATGGATGAACCCAGATCCATTAAAAATAAAAAATTTATGATTTCGTCGTGACATCATCAAGCGATATATATGTATGTTTTAGCTTTTACAAATACTTTTGGCCATATCTCACTGATGCAACATACTACTTACAAAACTGTTTTGCATTAGAAGCCTTGGAAGTAAAAAATCTGCGAAAAAGTCCTATGTTCTGTTGCAAACAGACATAGAACCTCTCGGTTTTTTCTTCTTGGTCTTCCGCCACTTTTTCTCGTCACCTCTTTCGGCATTATGTCATATGACTTTGAAACTTACACACTTAAGTAACTAATAGCAAAGGTCTTTCGCGAAACATGACCTCTTAATGACATCATCACCTGATTTTCCCATATGTTTTGTACACGTTTTTAAACAGCCACACAACGTGATTAAAAATTCCAGCGTTTTTGCTCGTCACCTCCTTGGGCATTAACCAAAGTCATATGACTTATAAACTTTACATACTTAAGTAACTTATAGCAAGAGTCTCTTTCAAAATATGACGTCCTAATGACGTCATTACCTGATTTATTGTAGAGTTAATTATTGTAGAGTTAATATTTAATATTTTCCCATTTTCGTACACGTTTTTCAATATCACAACTAGGCCCCTTTTCGATCGGACTTAATAAGTATTAGGTCCACATTTGGTCCTCAGGGTAGACAGGGTCCAAAAGAAATCTTGACGTCACCATGTGTCACTTGACATGGCATTTAAGGGGAAAATTTCAGAGGTCTAAATCTCCTGAAGTACATGCCCGATTGGATTTAAACTTGGCAGATATTTCAAAGCGATATACCAAAGATGAAAACGGACCACATGTGATGATGACCTCACGTGACCTTAAAGGCGCACTCGTAAAGCCCTATATCTCCTGAAGTACGTGTCCCATGGGTTAAAGCTTTGCAGTTGAAACTTTGCAGACGAAAATTGCCCTTATGTGATGATGACGTCATCACGTGGAGGCAATTTTCGTCAGGTGGCAAGACACGTGACATTAAAGGGGCACTCTTTAAAGTGCTGTATCTCGTGAAATACATGCCCGATTGGGTTGAAGTTTTGTGTATTGCTCGAAGGGGAGTGGTTTTAGACCAAGATTGACCTGATATAATTATGAAATCATCGGGTCACAAGCCACGTGACATTTTTTAAAGGGACACTCTTTAAAGCACCATATCTCATGAATACATATCCCATTGGGTTGAAACTTTGCAGATAGCTAGAAAGGGAAGGGTTTCGAGATGGAAATTGATTTCATCTCATCATGGTATAATAATATGACAGGTTATACATTACATGTGACATATATCAAGATTACAATTTCCACCGACCAATGCATCGTCCATGTGCACGCGCCAGTAAATCTTGTAAGCAATTTGTCAAGAATTTCGTTACTGTTTTTAGATAAATGAAACCAGGGTCGAAGCAGCTGTGTTTGCGCACAAACATATTTCTAATTTTAAGAGCGTCCATAAAGGACTTAACATCAACTAAATCGCCCAAGCTATGGTCTTGAATCATTTGATTTCTAGACACCCGATCGTTTCCTTTCAATATAAAATTGAAAGATATAATATTAAGACCATTTACAGTATTACCGGGAGGTAAAGTAGGAATGAAATGTGTGTTTAGACATAAGAAGTGATTTTACTATTGTACCTCTTCCAAAATCTGTGAGATCCCGTTTGGACCACTGCACACTAAGTTTTCTAAATGTTCAAATGACGTTATTATAACTAATCATGACCATGGAATTCAAATCCATCGAGGAGTTAACACCAAATAGTTTAATGAATCGTGAGGCGCTACCCAATGAAGACTAATGTCATCACACATTATCCGTGCAACACTTCTTACACCCTTCCCAAACTACGCTGGTGTTGTCAACATTAACTCTCAACACCGTTAAATTGGCAATGCGGTCAAGAATAGCAGTGCATTGCAGTGCATTGCACATGGATCTCCATGAAGCGTTTTAAAACTAACGTTCCATCTGCAATTGGGATATTAAGAATTCCCTGTCACCTGCCTGAATACCTCTGGACTCTCTGAAGCATCACAGACAAAACCTTAGCACATAAAAATGAAATTTAAGCATCCGAATAACAAATAGCAGCATGAGAAAATCACTTACTATTATGTCGTGGGGATTAGCGGGGTCGCTGTTCCATCGACCGCTGACGAAGCGTTTGGCCGAGTACTCTTTTTTCGTGTATTATTAAACAGGTGGTGACATGATTTCAACGAGTTGGTTTCTCAGAGCTTTGGTGGGGCGCACTACTTAGTAATACAGTGTTTCACATAATTAACTATTACAATCATTCTCGCCATCGTAATTATCAGTACAATGAAGAATAAAACAGAAAGTCAATATGCAGCGGTCAAATTCCATCACGATCTGTAACTTTGAATTGTACTTGGGAAATTCCGTAATCTGCAAATAGCCATGACTATGTAAAAACCTCAAACACGTTTCGAAATTATCTCTGATAGGCCTGTTTTACTTAATGATAACGCCTTCTGGTATAACGCTTTTTAACTTAATATCAAGGCGCTTTTCTATTATATTAGTAAAAATTACATCTCAGCTCCTTGGGGTGTATACAGCTTGATGTTGCCATTTCGGGTGGGGAGAAGCAATGAATGACAAGGTCGTTTGATTTTGCTTTTTCCCCCCAAGCCGGTTTAGTCAATACAGCACGTACCTGTTCTTTTCGGCAGTACTCGTATTTCACACGGTAGGCCCTATGTGCACCATGGCAGGGGTAGGATGGGTATTGCACAAAGACAATTATTGCTTTGAGTTATGGACCCACTCCTGAAAAAGAAAGTGCATGTCTAAAAAATACCTCCCTGTATTATGCACGGATGATGCAAGAATAGGGTAATATATAGGGGTAATCCATGACACAAAAGGTGCAGCTTCTAAGCAAAAATGTAGAAATTCCATTGTAAAGTTCAAGAATTACCTCCAAGGACCCACTTTTAATAAATGGGTGGACATGTACTCTGTCTAAATAACTTTGAATAGAAACAAAATATACGCCACAACTTCTTCAAAGTGGTCGATCAAGTAGGACATTTAGAAAAGATGTACATTGCATTATAGCGTTTTTCACCTTCTTTTTTGGCGTGCTAGGTAGCCATTCTGCGATAAGGTTGATCATGCCTGTAAGCGACTACGCCTGGCCAGGTTGCTGATAGGACTGTGATAAAAAAATATCGCTAAGAATAAAAGGCTGTTACTTTCCCACGCGCTAGAAACTTGTCTTTGTCGGTGACCATTATAAAATGTCAATCAGTCGTGCCTCGGTTGTGGTTACACATGATATTTATTTAATTACACCTTCTCATTTCGATAATTAAAACTGTAATCACATTCAAAATTTTCTGGCAAACGGTTCAGTGTAAACATCTCATTCTCGACAAGACGAGTCCATCAGAAGTCCCTTTATTAATTAAAGTTCATTGCAAGTCGGCAAATGTAAGCTACTTTCAAGTCATATCACAAACTATTAAAATGGACAGTGACAAAGCATTCCCTTTCAGGTTCACCCTGTTACTTTTGACTGGTCTTGTGACTGGTCTTGTAATTGACTGTGTGAGGACTTGTGACAGACTCACTGTACACCACGATATGAAAACAAGGTAGAAAACAAAAATTGAAACAGGTAAGTAAATTGTGAAATTGTGGAAGTTTTGCCATAGATGTTTAATTACCAGCAACAATGTGCGACAACCACTCGCTCATATTCACTTACAATTTTTCTACCGTCGAACCTCATGTATAAGAGGTCCTTCGAACTTTGCTGATTACTTTGCTACGACATGAACCTTGAACATGAATTATCCAGATTGAAACAATGAAGAACAAAGGATTGCAGGCTAAAGACTTCTTTGATATGAACAGAATATTGAATTAACAGTATTATTGTTCACGATATTTGACTTTAAAAGAAAAACGATTTATGAGAGATGTCATTTACAAGGCACAAAATAGATTACGATGCAGCAGATCGTTTAAAAAGTGTCAGATATTGATTAAGTATCCTAGGGAAGTTTTTCTTGATAATTATTATTGTTGTTGATGCTGTTATTATGAATCGAAGACTCAAGTGGTGTTCAACTACTATTCATCACGAAAATAATTGAGATAACAATAGGAAAAACTGAAAAACGAAGGAAACATTAATAAACCCCTATCCAATGAAACACAAAGAACCAAAATTAGGTAATATGATAGCAAATTGGCTAAATGAAGCAAACAAAACATGTATTCAGCGAAGAACTTGGAATATCTAGGCCGCACTGTCACTTTAAGCTACAACACGGAACAAAAAGTCAATTTACAGGCAACGTCACAAGTGGGGAGAGGCAAACTCGGGATCGGGGGATTTTTCATTCACGTGCATAAAAAATCTACCTAAACTTCAAATTCAACTATCATGCAAGTATACTGCTTACGGCAGTGCTGCGCTGTTTTTTTTCTGGGAGGGAGAATTTAAATTCGGAACAAATTTTTGTTATGGATCTGTGTACACAATATTTGAAGACCGTACGGGTTCACGTCAAATGTTTCATTAACATGGTCAGAGAAACGTAACTGACAATAAACATAACGGGGATGTTCAAGTCAAAAATAGTTTTGCCTTTAATGCACTTTCAATTGGTGCTTTCCTTTATTTAGCTACGTGGAAATAGGGGCAGGCGATAGCTTTCAGACACAAGCGTCTGTGCTGCCGTAAGTCGGCGTTGCAGAGTAGCTCCGACCATCTCGCGTTACCACCACGGCCAGGGACTGAGCCCGTGCCTTGGTTATGCGTTCTCGCTCGGCAGACTCATCGACACCTTCCCCGCTCTCAGCTTCTGGATCGAAATGGGTAATGACCGCATCACGTGGTGGGTGCCCCAGCTGTGACACCGCAGTCAGGGCGCTCCGAAGGGCCGCCTCCTCTCGTCTCTTGCCCTCAACACTGTGGTGCATTCCGTACGTGAAGTACAGAATCATCCCTGAGATTGAAAGGCAAAGAAAAAGAACACAGAAGAGGGGGATGAACCGACTTTGGGTAACTTTCTCGGACCCACACTCCAACCAGCCCACCCACTCCTGAGGCATGGCTATCCACGCACACAACCACACACACACTCCCCCAAAACTCTATCACTACAGCTATTCGAATAGGAAAACTTACTCTCGGGTAAAAATACTTTAGGAGGATTTTGCGAAGATTCTGGCCTAAAGGTCGACGCAGCTGTTGTGTCTCACTGATAAATTAAACTGATAACAGTTTACTAGGTGACTGCTGTATTGAAACTGAAAACTCTACTACTTTTAAACAGATGCAGACAGCAACGAGGAATGCTTTAAAGTGTAGCTACAATGAATTTTTATTAGACACAAAATTTCTCCATCTTTTTACTCTTTTCTATTTAGTGAAATATCTTATCTGCAAGCTTTTAAACAATAAAAAATGTCCATGCTTTTCTTGACAGCTGAGGGCGCTGTTGGGGAGAAATCATCTAGGGAAGACATGGTTTTCAGCGCATAGGTATTTCTGTTCAACTTGTGAACCCAGAATTTACTAACTGAAAACATTTATGAGGAGGGATTGATGGTTTCTTGTTGCTATGCACATAAAAACCAACGAGTCAGCAAAAGCAGAGGAAAATGAGTCCAGGAAAATCTACAAAATAAAGCACAAGACTTATTTTGTGTACAAACAAATGTAACATTGAAGCTTCCTCCCAAGATGACATCACAGTTTTGCTCAGGAATATGGAAATACTCATCAGCATAAAAACCAAACAGGCGTTAAAACACTCTTTAAAATAATGAAACAAAAGTTGAAATAAGGTGAACTGAGGGACAAAGGTGCATTTTGAAGGCTTTAAATCAAAAAATTGATTGCAGCTACCGTTTAAAGGGCACATGCAATACATTTTTCCGTGATTTACAGGGTTCATTTCCTCCTCACTACATACACTGTACAAGCAATATTTTATCTTATTTGTTTCATTATATCATTTCACTTTATGCCATTTAGTTTATTTCATTTTGATATAATTTTCTTTATAATTTCATTTTTATTTATTTGCTCTGAGGTGAAGTCCGCCGTAATTGTCTCTCTCGACGGATTTTCATCTCCTAGGTGCCAGACCCATAGGTCAATAAATAATAAATCATTGACAACCATTTTTGGAGGCCAATAAAGATCAAAAATGAGAATTATACGAGAAAATAGTCAAATGAAAGGTTGTTTCAAACAGCATAGGTTCATCCTTAATTCACTAAGTACGCTGTCCTCTCAAGGGTGGACCCAGAGCCAAATTTAAGGGAAGATTTGACAGGGTTTTTTTTTTTGGGGGGGGGAGGCCAAGGCTACATTTTGGCGCGTTTCACAAGGGGGGGGGGGAATCCAGAGTTTGGCCGTTGCCTTTACTGTTTGTTTCACCGTCCTGTGCAAACACCGATGTGACGGGCTGCCCAAGAAAAAAACAGGATCTAGACAAAAAGATCATAATAGTAAAGCAATATCTTCGCTCGTCGCCCAGCGCTCAAATAGGGTGATGGGAAGGGCTGCTGGCCTTGCACCACAGTACTATGTCTATGCCTTGCACAGATTTTGGTGAAGGAAATACGTCACATAGGGTCACAGCTAACGATGCGTACAGCATTGTGGGTAAATTTCTGCCAGGCGCGCGAGCTCGCTCAATGCGTTACACAAGTGGCTGTTATCAACTCGATAGCTTTCTATTTCTTCCTTCTTGCTGAAAACATTCTCACTACACTTTATTTTGTTCATCAAAATTTATCAAAATAAGTGATTTGAAATATATCGCCAAAAGACATGTGATCAGTAATACTTAATGAGAAGACAAATGACCACACTGTGATTGTACTAAGGTCTTGTTTTGTCATATAGCCGACACTTTGCAGTAAACTCCGGCTAAATCGGCACTCTCAGAAATTATGACGACTTAGCGAATGCCGACTTGTGCTGTAAGTCATCATTTTGCCGACTTACACGTACACATGTATTGCCTTCGTGTATGTACATTATGATTCCTTGCACTAATTCAATGGCTTTGATTTACCCTGGTTTATTTCTACCTCCATGGTCGATCCCAGTAAATTCGTTCTCGACTGTTATCCTCACAGGCTGCAAATGCGATAATTGATCATGTGCCCCTGAGGACGAAGCAAGGACGGCAAGCCACTTCCAAATCACATCACGACTTGACAGTTCAGTACGAACATGTACAGTACGTGAAACAGTTATGGTACAGAAAACACACTCATCCGCGCACGCATTGTTAAGTTCTTTTAATAAAGCCACTCCAAAATGGACAGAGCGCATGCGTGCAGCCCCAGAGGGGTTACTGATATTGATGTTACTCGTGCTGACCGATTATTAGTCTTGGTTTCAAAACGTTAGTGCTTGATAGCGGACACCGTGCATAGCACGGCCCCAACGACTCATAATTTGACTGTGCGCCAGAGTGTGAGAGTAAGTAAAACCTAGTTGTGCGAGGGCGCTCTTCAACAGAAATAAAATAACTGTCGATCACTGACGTCTTGGGCCAAGACTAGCCGATTATCAACCATGGCCTGTGCAGCCAACCAATGGTGGGTGAGCAAACAAATAAGCATCAGTCAAGCAATGTGGGACTTGTCACTTGACGCTTCTTGGCAACCGCAGCGAAGGAAACTGATACCGAAGCATGAGTTGTTTTTAATGCCGACTTGCACCATGCTTACACAAAGGAATTTTTGTGGTTTTGTGGAAAAGAGACATACAGAAACATGCCGACTTATACGAAATGACTACTTATAAATGCCGACTTAGAAATGAAGTTTTCAACGGAAATGCATCACAGACGATCGGTACTTTTGTCAAAAGGCCGACTGAGACGATATGACGAGTTACGCGATGCCGACTTAGTCGGAGTTTAATGTAACAGGAAGTGATAAAATTGCGGTCACAGGTCGTGCACAACTTAGCCAATCACAGTGCAAAGCCATAAGCCCTTCCCTGCGCTCTGTTCGAGCGCTGGGTGACTGACGAGCGAATCTCTGGATCCAGATTGTGTGTGAGACCGCCCTCTAACAGTGGATAAACTCGAAATACACTGCCATCGTGTGCAGGCTGGAATCACATACACAACACGAACGCAGCCCAGGAAGTGGTGTTAGATTGGTGGAAAGGAAACAGTAACTTGGGGGGGGGGGCAAGGACCTGAAGCTGTACCAATATGTATCTGGATCCGGATCAACTTTACTTGTACCTGGGTTAATTCCTACCGAAGTCAAGTCGTCCCCGGTTAACTCATACACTTGATAACTGTATTTTCGGGTGTTTGTAAATAAACATGGCATACATAGTATGGACTTTCGCACAAAAGAAGTCAACGCATGTGTACTGTTCATGTACGGTAAGAAAACCTTGTGTGGACTTGCTTATGTCCACGCAGTGTTTTACCCTCTCTGAGAAACCACTTCAGAGGCATTTTAGGGTCTGGGATATTATGGGAAAATGAAGAGAAATAGTACTGGAAATCCTCATTAACAATCCAGCTCGAAGGAGGTATCCCACTGAGAGAAAAACAAGCACTTTTCTCACAGGAGAACAAAGGGATGTCCACACACTACGTTTGTGAAACAAGCATGTGTGTGTGTGTGGGGGGGGCACATCCATGTTTGCACCCGCGGCTGCAGCAAAAGCAGCACACAATAATAATAATAGTAAACGGTGGAGAGTTCTTGGGGGCAAATAATGCTCACTTACCTATAAAGGTCCAGATAAGGAACTCTAGCCAGGCAAGGGCGTCAAAGCGCACCATGAGAACGACGTTGCAAAGTAGACTGAAGAGAGGTAGAAACGGCATAAGTGGCACCTGTGCAGTACCCAAGAGGTCAGTCGTTAATGTTAGTTCATGTTTTCCATGGAAATATTCAGACAACAAAAATCAAGTCATGTTCAGATTTAATTGAACGAAAAACAAACAAACAAAAAAGGGGAACTAGCATGCTGTGCAAAAAAAAAAAATTCAAAATGACGCTCTTTCTAACATGCCCATTTCTTGACTATTATATATGAAATTAAAGATCTTGGTATAATCTTTGAAAATGGAGTAGTTTTCAAGGGTAAGTCAGTTTCAAATCTCTTTTTTGTGCATTTTTAATGGAAAGGCACGAAGGCAAGTAAAACATAATTTTTGAGTTACACTGACGATTTAAAAAGAATGTGAGTAAAATTTGGTCCAAGGCAACTCAGTCCCAGGTCAACTTGGTCCCGGGTCAACCAGATCTCAAGTCAACTCGATTTCTGAGGAAAAATAAATGTCCATAAATAAAGATGGGGTAGATCTCTAGTAAAATAGTCTGACACGGGACTGGCCTATTCCGTACGTGCGTCACGAATGTTGCTGAGTGTTTAGCATATAGTCTAGGCTTTGACGTAAACCACTTCTATTTATTTAACAAATATAAATGTTCGTAAGGATTCATAAAAACGTTTTATTAAAAATCATATTGAGCCCCTCAGCCCCACAATTTAAATGAAAGATCTTTTTAGACTTTTCCAGCCTATTTCGCAGTGTTAATATTATTTATTTTATTTAAATGTTCATTCAATTTTGTCCAGTTTTGAACTTAAATTTATTAAAGGCGTTCCATCAACATGGGCCGAAACGAGTGATTGATCTTCAGAGTGAAGCGATACCTTGCAAAATTTGGCCGGGAAGACTATTAGCTGACCTCAACCAATTCGATTTGGTAACTTCAGTAGGTATTTTTTATTTGATGTTTTATTTAAAAGTAAATTATATTGCTTGAGTAATGGAAACGTCGAAGTGATATGGCAACCAACACTAAGCGATTACCCATGGAGACCTGGTTGACCAGGGATCGAGTTGACCCGCACAGCACCATTACAATCGAAAAAGCTTACATCGGAAGAGTGAAGAATGAATTTTCGACACAGTGAATTAGACTAATTCAATTATATGGTTGTGCTTGTATACTTGCCTTGAATGGAATTCCTTCTTTGTACTGGGGTAAGACAAACAGTGGCCAACAACAAATAAGGGCTAGCCCACCAGTGACGGCAACGCCAAACACTACTGCTCCGTCCATATTTTTTAGTTCAGTCATTTTGAAGGTTAAGAGAGCCACTGCAGCAAACTCGAACAGCAGATGGAGGATCAGCGAGATGATGACAGTAGTGGTGGGGTGTTTGTCGATCCATCGACGGTTTGTCGAACCTGATGAATAGATGGAGCTAGCAGTCGACGCCGTTCGTTGTTGTCGGTGTTCTATAGAGTTGCCTAACAAGGTGGACTTTTCGACTTGCTCGGCATTATTATAGTCGTTTGGGTTATGGTGACGTGATTTCTTCTTGACAATCCGGCGAGGGTATTCCCCAGATAGCTCCGTGTCAGCTTCCCCGTCATCTTGGTATTCGCTGGGATTGTTCTCTTCGTTGTCGCAGCTACTGCTGTCACTGCCGTCTATGGCAGAGTAGCCTGACCGCATTGGGGGACGGTAGCGAAGAATGACCGCCGCTATTCCGACGATGACGAACTCGACGAAGGCCACCAGAGAAAGGAATTGAATGATAACAACGAAGTCGATAAAGACGCTGACGACGACAGAAAGAATTGCTCCAGCTAGAGTAGCTATCACGGGAGTCTGTGTCCTGGCATTGGTCTTGGAGAGAAAGGCAGGGAGGAGGCCGTCTCTGGCTATGACATAGATGCTCCTGGCAAGGCAGAAAGCACAGTTGATAACCCCTCCGGTCATACTTCCCAAAGCCCCTACGGCCACCAGATACTTCATCCAGTCAAGCCCGATTGCTTCGAAAGCTGTTACAAACGGAGATCCAGGGTTTATATCTCGGTAATCTGTGAGGACGGTAATGGAGATGGTTCCAGCCACGTAACACAAGACTGATGCCAGAAAGGCCACGATAATTCCGATAGGTAGACCCCTGCTAGGATTTTTGGCCTCCTCTGCGCTAAAAGCAATCGCCTCGAAGCCGCAGTATCCAGTGAAGCAGGCCGCAGCGCCTGTCATTACGCCCCCGAATCCGGTCGGGAAGAAGCCGTGCCTGGTTAAGAAGGAGAAATCAGCGTGGATCATGGCAAAGATGAAAACCAGCGCAATGGTCATGATATTGATGAAGACAAAAATCATGTTAGCCTTGGCCGAAACCTCCGTCCCCACAGCAACCAGCACGCAAGCAAAGAAGGCTACCAGCCCGGCTACAATATCTGGGTAACTAGCAAACACAGGGATGGACCATTCCTCACCGTTCAGCACAAATTCCACGGTGATGTTTCTGACGTAATCTCCGATGACATCGTCGAAGTACGCGCTCCATCCCCGCGATACTAAAGCGGAGGCAAAGATACGGACGACCACGGCATTCCAGCCGATCATGAACGCCATCATCTCCCCCAAAGTGACATACGTATACAGGTACGATGCACCCGTTTCGGGGAGCTGAGTGGCACATTCTAAATAGCAAATAGCCGACAGGAAAGCTACAAAACCAGACAAAAGAAAGGATATCGATCCAGCTGGACCAGCCATCTCTCCAGCTACTTCCCCTGTCAGGACGTAGACACCAGATCCAAGCATGCATCCAATGCCGATGAAAGCCAAGTCTGCAGTAGATAGACATCTTTGCAATGGGGTGGACCTGAGGTCTGTAGTCACCACTCTCGTACGGACTATGTTGTCCTTGATCTGACGAAAGCAACTCACGTCCCCCATCACGAAACTGACGACAGACAGGGACTCTCGAATTTTTCGATGGTCAGACGGTGGTCGCTCTAGACGCCACGATTCAACGCAGGAAGTGGCTGAATCGCTTCCAGTCGCCGGTAGCCGCTGCAGTTCTTGCCTGCCTTGCAACAGAAAAACCCTGACCGCCAATTTTTCTGAAGAGATATAAAACTGCGTTTAATGATTACCTTTCCCTATTGTGATGCTAGTTGCTTATTAATTACTAGCGCTGCTAGGCAATTTGCATGGTACACGTGCAAGGGAAACCCGTCGAGTTCATCCTCGGTTAATCTGACACTTATCCGGTTGTTTATCGACGGTCGGTGATGTTTATCCACCGATTCTTGGCTAAAGATTCTGTGAACAAAACGGTCTTCGCAGATGCTACAATTCAACCCAACGCTGGTACAAAGGAAAAAGAACGATAAACTTTCGAGAACCAAATACTTCAAATAAATAATTAAAATTCTTCTGAACGCAAATTATTAAAGAAAAGAGAAAGAAGTCAGAAACAAAAAAATAAACCACCAAAGGCAAGCACTCACAGTGAATTTGTACTTTGATTTTATTCGCAATTTTGATTAAAAAAAAGGGCATTGTCCAGTGAAAAAATACACCCCAAACATTTTAACAGCAGTGGTACATGCACTGCTGAAGTCAAGAACACATCAGAACTTCGCCACATTTGCTACGAACTACAGAGAACTCGGCTATAAAATTACTGAATATGCATACTTCCTTACAGTTACCACTGTCGCTGAAGGTGCTTTTACAAATATGCACCCACGAAATCCGTTTTTAACCTGGTTAACCACCAAAAGTCTGGTGATTTGCCCTGATTTCCTTATTTCTTCTCGTTTATTTCAATACTGGAGAAACAGTTCGACTCGAATCGGCAGATATCTTTCATCAGTGGCGTAAATTTCCGCCGGAAATGGGGGGGGGGTTAATTGTTCGGCAGTGGAAATTTGAAAAGCGGAGGGGGCACGCAACCGTGACACTACATAGGGGCAATGTTTATGATACATGTACAGATGTACTTCTGAAATAAGTATTACAAAATGTTTTTTTTCTAAATTGTTCTCCCTTTGAATACATTTTGGGTGTTGGAAAGTCGGGCAAATTCTTCACAATCCACTTTCTTTTTTTTTCGCACCGCAAAAAGCTGTGCGCTGGGGGAATGATTTAATAGCCCACTACCCGGGCAAAACGTGGGGAGATACATACCCTCACCCAACGAGATTTATGTCCATTCTTTTATTAATTTTCCAAAAAAAAAAGCATCTGTATATGTAGGAGGAAACTAACTCAGCGCTACTCGTGCTCCTGCATGTACAAGTAAAATAAAACACATCATGTCGGTAACAGTAGGAAAAACAAGATCTCAATGTCGCGAAGACTCACTATGACTGCTAATAATTAAGCACTTCCACTACAAAAAACAACGCCCATTATAAACGCGTTTTTGCGTTAACTGTAAACATGTGTTAGTTTAAAATTAAACACTTGTTTGGTTATAAATGTGTTTTTTTGTGAAGAAAGTGTTACCACTTGATAAACATGTTTTTGTGTCTCGTTATTAACGAGAAATGGGTTTGTGGGTACACCATGGAATCAATCTCTTTTGGGCGACGTGTGGTTCTTAAAAGAACCGGTGAGTGTCAACTCGACGTTTCGGCCAGAGTTCTCTGGCCGTCCTCAGCCAAAATGTGCCATTGTGTCTTAACGTATTAACACATCAACACATACGTCTTAAAAAATAAACACCACAACACGTTTATCTTTGGATTATTAATGCAAGAACACGATCACAAAGTGTTGACCAGGAAGGCGATTAACAGGCGTTAAAACATTAACACTTGTTTTTACAATACATGTAAAACTTGGAGGATACAATGATGAACTAGAACGGCAAAGCCGCCATGGCTCGCTGCTTGTTATGGATTTGAATTTCTTTCCTGTAATAACAGCTTATGTTAAGAGACATCCAAGTTATACAAATATGGTTACTGAATTATACTAACCAAGCTTGATCCAAATATTTTACAAGATTGGTTAAAATACGACAATATAGACGTACAACATATTTTATCGACCTTAGTGAGAAAAAACCTAGTTAGTGCTGTGTGCGTTTAAAAGTAAATCAACAAAGACCACCAACAAGGGAGATACAGGTACAAAGGCTTCACAGTTCTTTACAGGATAGAGGAATGCCTACAGAATAAGGGTCCAGTACAGTCAGACTAAACCTAGGTGATTATATAAGCAGTGCATTTGTGAGTTTGATGGATGGTGCATAATTACAATTCCTCTTAAGTACAGTTCCGCACTTTGTATCCAACCCCATCATCCTATCCTCTACAATTCTCCCCTCATCATCCCATATCCCATCATCATATCTACCATGTCTACTTTGACTCCACCCCTAATCCCATCTATCTCCAATCCCACATCCACCTTATCTG